TCCATCCCAGCAGAATTTTGAGCACACATGTACATGGGCCTGGTGTGCTTCTGAAGTTGCCAGGGGTGGGATTTGAACCACTGTCTGCCATGTGGGATCTGGCTCTCTGTGCTCTGCACTTAACCACTACACACTGTAGGACTAGTCTGTAGCATCCTTTCTTTCAGGTGTACAGATGAAAGGGTAGACAACAAAATGACAAGTGTGATAAATGTCACCAAAGGGAATACACAAGATATAATGAGGGTAGGGGGCCAGTGGGTGGCATGGTGCTTGAGGGTGCTGGACTCCCACATGGCCAACTGTAGCTGGACTCCCAGCCCTGGTGGCTTGCTTGCTCACCTTCCTCTCTTTCTCTGATTTTTGTCCCTCTCTGATCAAATTAAAATAAATAAAGTAAAAAATAATTCTTAGGGAAAAAAAGATGTAATGAGGACTTAACAAGAGGGAGGGGATATCTAACCTATCTGGAGGTCAGGAAATGCCTCCCTCCCTAGGAAGGAACTTTAAGGCTGAGACCTGAAGGCTGAGTAGGAATTTGTTGGGCAAGAAAATGGGAAATTCCATAATGAAAACTGTGCCTTTATCTAAATGCATCTGGCTGGAGGGTAGAGAAAGGCCGGAAGTTGCATGAGATCAGCCCGCAGAGTTTGGCAGGGATCAGGTCAAAACAGCCTTGTCATCTAGATCTAACTAGCTTTCGAAAACTAAAGATAATTGAACAAATGAAAAAATAGCCTGAGGAAGCAATTGGCCAATTCCAGAATGAGAAATAGTCTACAGAACAAATGATTCAGTTTCTCATTAAATCAGCTTCATGAAAATAAAAAAGAAATTAAAGGGAGAGAGTTCTATTATAGAATAAAGGAGCCTTAACAGACATAGCACTCCAAAGCAATGTGTGGATCTAATTTATTTCTTGTTTGGATTAAATAAACCATGAAAAGCATCTTTGAGATAACTGAAGATATTTTTTCTTTTTTTGAGAAGTTTTTGCTACAGGGCATGTGCACTCGCCAGAAAGGCAGAGAGAGACAGAGAGACAGAAAGGCAGAGAGAGACAGAGAGACAGAAAGCGAGAAATCACCTCCCAGGGGACATGGTCATGCCGCAATCCCTTCTCCTCCGTTTTCCTCTCAGGATCTTGGGCACGCATGCACACGTGCCCGGCGTGAGTTTAAGCCAACGGGTCCAGGACTTGACCCTGCGGTTGACTACATGGGAGTCCAGTGACATAGCCATTACGCCATCTTCTGGTCTCAACTGGAGATATCTGAATATGGAGGGCCAGTAGGTACTGTAGTGGTTAAAGTGGTGGGTCCCACATGGCTGACAGCACAGTTTGAGTTCTGGATCAGGCAGCTTGAGAGATACGTGGAGCGTGTGTGCCCAAAATCCTGAGAGGAGAACAGAGGAGGGATTGGCATGTGGCCATCCCCTGGAGATGGGGTGTGATTCCCACTTTCCCTCTCTGTCTCTCTCCAGCAAGCACACATGCCCTATGGTGAAAAATCTTAAGAAGAATGAAAGAAGAAGAAAGGAAGGAAGGAAGGAAGAAAGGAAGGAAGAAAGAAAAAGAAAGAGAGAAAGAAGGAATGAAGGAAGGAACAAAAGAAGAAAGGAAGGAAGGGAAAGAAAGGAGACAGAGAGAAAGAAAGAAATCTGAATGTGAATTGGGCATTATAAGATATTATGATATTAATTGTTGGGCCATCAGGTGGCATGGTGGTTAAGCCAGTGGACTCCCACATGGCTGACTGTGGCTCAAGTCCTGGACTTGGCAGCTTGCTTTCTCACTTTCCCTCTCTCTGTCTCTCTCTGGTGAGAGTGTGTGTCCTATAGCAAGTTAAAAATAATAAACAAAATAAAATAGGTCTTAAAAAAAGAAATCGTTAATTTTATTGAGTGTGGTAATAGCGTGGTGTTAATTTTAATTATTAACTTTATTAGGTGTGATAATAGCAAGGGCTTTTAAGAAGCCCTTATTGGGCCAGCTGGTGGCGTGGAGGTTAAGGCATTGGATTCCACATAGCCTGCTTCGTGGTTCAAGTCCTGGATCTGACATCTTGAAAATCATGCTAGGTGCATGTATGTGGGTGCTCAAAATCCTGGGAGACTGGAAGAGAAGGGATTGTAGCCATTTTCCCTGGGAGGTGACTTATCCCCACCACAACACCTGCTTCTCCCACTGGCGAGCTCATGTGTCCTAGAGCAAAAAGTAAAAAACAAACAAACAGGGACCAGCAGTTGGCAAAATGGCTACGTCGCTGGACTGTCATGTAGTTGACTGCAGTTTGAGTCCCAGACCCGGTGGCTTAAACTCATGGGGCGGGGGCATGTGTGCATGCCCAAGATCCTGAGAGGAGAACGGAGGAGAAGGGATTGTGGCATGGCCATCCCTCCCGGGTGGGGATTTCTCAACTTCTGTCTGCTTTCTGTCTCCCTGTCTCTTTCTGTCTGGCAAGTGCACATGCTCTATAGCCAAAAAATCTCTCTCTCTCTCAAAGTAAATAAATATCACAAACCCCTCCAAAAATAACAAGTAAAAGTCCTTACTCATTATAAATGCATGTAAGTTAGATGACTGATGTGGGTGTGCTTTACAAATATCCTGGAGAAAAGCTGGAGGCGGCAATAATAATGTAGGCAAAATACTGGTAATTGTTGAAGCTGGATGATAGGTATACAGAGATGCATTATGCTAAGCCTCTTGATTTTTATGTGTATTTGGAAACTTAAACAATAAAATATTTGTAATAAAAGAAAATGACAGAGAGAAGTACCTTACAAACCATACTAAGGATTGATTGATTTCCTTTCTATTTTGAAATAATTTTATCCTTTGGTTTTCCTTTTAGAGGTTTTTGCCTTAGGGCACATGTGCTCTCCAGGAGGAGAAAGACAGATATAGTGAGAGGGAAAATGAGAAATCACCCCAAGGGGATGACCATGCCACAATCCCCTCTTCTCCTGGGATCTTGGGTGTGCATGTGCACACACATGCTCCTGCTGTGATTTTCAAGCCACTGGATCTGGGACTCCAACCATGGTGGACCATGTGGGAGTCCAGAGATGTAACTGTTACCCCATCTGCTGGTCCAAAAATAATTTGAGATAATGTTCATAGATAAGTTGCAAAGATAGTAGTGTCCACTATTCCCGTCACCACCTTCCTCTAGCGTCACAGTTCATGTTTACCAAATAAGGGGGCGGGCAGTGAAGTAACTCACTTTCTCTGTCTCTTCCTGGCAAGCACACACACCCTATAGCAAAAAGAATATGGAGGGGCCGGCAGGTAGCGTATGGTTGGAAGCCCTGAATTCCCACGTGGCCGACCCCAGTTCATGTCCTGGACCTGGCAGCTTGCTTCCTCCCTTTCCCTTTCTCTCTCTGGTCAAATTTAAATAATAATAATAACAACAATTCAAATGAATTAAATAAATAATTATTTTAAAAAACTACATGGAGGGACCAGCAGTTAGCGTAATGGCTATGTCCCTGGATTCCCATATAGTTGACCATGGTTCGAGTCCCGGACCCGGTGGCTTAAACTCATGCTGGGTGCGTGTGTGTGTGTGCCCAAGATCCTGAGAGGAGAATGGAGGAGAAGGGATTGCAGCATGGCCACCCCCCGTGGGGGCGGTTTCTCGCTTTCTGTCTCTCTGTCTCTTTCTGTCTTTCTGGCTAGAGCACGCACCCTATGGCAAAAACCTTTCAAACAACAACAACAACAACATGGAGATGAAATATGGTTTGTGGTGGGATTGGACATAAACTGATGAATTTGGGTAATTTCAGGAAAATG